ATCGATCTCATTATCAAAACTCACCACAGTTATTCTTTTGGCTCTTTCCTCTTCGTTTGCCTTAGCTGTTTTCTCAATTTCCAAGCTCATGCTTTTGCTCGCACTGATGTTTCTGAAAAAGAAAACTTAACTTTCCCTTTTTCTTTCTTGAGTTGTTGATGTCCCTTCGTGGACAAGTGACTCCTTCGTGAGTCAGTATTGGTATCGGAACGATGTCTACCAGAATTTTTGAGAGCCGCTGGTTCGGCCCCGATGTGATACTTACGTGTTCCAACACCAATACAACAACAACTTTATTAACAACAAAAACAAACTTAAAAGAAAAAGGGCAAACAAGGCGAGATGCGGGGAGGGGAAGCGAAAAAGACGACGACCACTGAGGTCGCAACGGGAAGAAAACTTCAGAAAAATAAGCGGCCTTCCTCGGTCCGCATAGACAGTCGACTGAACTCTCGGCTCACCGACATACACTCTTCATTGATAACTAATGATACGACTTACGCGTTTTGACCTGACCGGGTAGCTCTTTTACTAGGGGGAGGGGGGGGGGGGGGGTACTAGGTCGTCTTTTCCGAACAAATATACAATGATTCTTGCTATTTTCGACAAAAGCACATAGATTACCACATATGCTTAATACGAATTGATTTTCTGCCTAATCAAAATAAATGTGGTTAAATTGTAAACGCGAAGTGAATCAGCTGAAATATAGCCTGCAGACTGTCTGCAAAGGATACCAATATGAGTACCAACAGTGCTTGAGTAAATGTAAGTAACACTTATAGTGATAGTAATAGTAATAGTAATAGCATAGCAATGGTAATAGTAATAGTAATAGTCATAATAATAGTAATATAGTAATAGTAATAATAATAGTAATAGTAACACTTCAGTAAATTATGATCATACCTCAAACTGGAACAAGTAGATTGTTGTTCGGCAACTCGTGACCTACAACGATAAAAGTTAATCCTATTGTGTTAATCACTACTAGAAAATTCGGTACTCAGTGATGAGTAAAGTATGTATACTAGTAACAATGAAAGTTGTTGGAGAAAAACGAAAGAATCGCCGTGTGTGCGGGAAGAAGCAGAAAAACATTGAGTAACAATCAAGCTACACTCAGTTGTTGGAGCATAGGTATTGTTACGCGATTACAAAACCGAAACTTGTAATTGTACAACAATGTAGTCACAATGGACGGATGTGGTGTAGAGGCAAGTGGCGCACTATCACACACGCATGGTCACGTGTTGGAATCCCGAATCGATATTCGCCTCGGCCAGGATAAAAGGATAAAAGGAGGATGGGAGATAAAAGCACTGACTTGCACATCGGCTGGCCACCGCAGGTCATTGGCTGCTTTCATAGTCCGCCGGCCGGCCGGCCGGCGTGCCGGCGGAGGCAGTGCTAGCGGGAAGGAGGGAGGCAGACAGATAGGCAAACAGTCCACGCCCCTTCGAGGGGTTGAAAACAAACAACCTTCGAAGGAGCGTGGACTGTTTGCCTTACAGTGTCTGCCTCCCTCCTCCCCCCTAACACTGCCTCCGCCGGCACGCCGGCGCGCCGACCGGCCGGCTGGCCGGCGGACTATGAAAGCAGCCATTGTATAGGTCACATACGCTTATCAGCGTACTACCAATCAGATATATTAATCGATTCAAATATTAATCGTGGTGGAACATTCTGAACCTTCTAAAACACTCTTGTGAGTGTCTGCAATGTATGGTTATTGTCCCTATGTCCAAACGATACTTTGAGGGATGAAAATCTATTAAAAACCCACAATTTTTAACAACTTTGTGACAAATCCATACACCATAAAAAGAAAATCATCATACCAGAAAAACGAAATTTCAGTATAAATGTTTGAGTCCGTGAAAATAAAGTGAAGGAACATGGAAAAAGAAGTCGGAAATACGGAAAAGAGCAATACGGAAACGGCACTGCTCTTTGGGCAGGCTTGACAGAAAGAAATGCGTCGAACGAATTCGTCCGCCATTGCACATTTCGTGTCAGGAATCATATTATCTTCAGGCTAGATAAGTGACACGTCACGTTCTCACAGGTTCACATCTTTGTCAGCGAGAAAAAGCTGCGAAATGCTTATCAGCGGTTGAATCTACCCCAACGGAAGTCTCGATTATACGCTACCAAGACGGCTCCGTGAAGACTATGGGCCATAAAGTTTGTTCATCTTGGGAAGTGAACTTGTTGAATAATGTTGGAATTGAAACATTAAGGAATGAGGAATGAAGTCTTTGAACGTTAGCCCAATACCATCCTTCAAATGCGCCCCGCATTCAAGTTCAATTCAGAATCGAGTGGCATTTTGATTGCGTACGTGACCTATACAATGACTACTTTATGGATGGTAGTTAGGTGGTTCTTCTTTAGGGAGGTGTGCATGAAGATAAGTCTCTCCCTCTGATGGCTCTGAAAGGATCGCAAAAGGAGGATTTTAAGCAGTGACCTAACTGACAAAATTACTATACAATTGAAGAATGGCTCTTTCAGCCCGTTTTTGCAGAGTGGTGTGGCCTCAAATATTCCTCGTTCACAAGCCTTCCAAATACCAAAATATTTATTTCTCACTTATTTATTTATTCATTAAAGCGACATGCCCCGTCCCTAAGGTGAGTGATAAGAACATGACATAAGTCCAAGAAAGCAAGATAGAAGAAAAGGAACCAGATATATGCTGAGCCTATGAAAACACATTTTCAAAATAAAAGCTGCATTACGATGCTGAATCTTCGGTTTTCAGCAGTAAAACAACTTCCTGAATTTTGTGCTATTTACAGTGCAAAATCATTCTTATATCCCACCGCCTGCTTCCCAGTGGTCTCTGAAAACTCTCTGGGAACAATTACGCCACGCTTTTTGGGCGAACCCCACAATCCGTGATCTGTATACATATAAGTGGATGTCTACTCCGGTTCAACAACGTCGCCATGAAAATCTACTGCATGCTGCTTAGTATCGGTGTTGCATCGTCGTTGAGGTAAATATTTACGGTGAATAATTTCTTTTTAAAACATTCTGCTCAGTAAATATTTTAAATGTGTGTCCTCGAAATCGAATCTCAAGATTGTACTGTAAACCAAAGTATTAGTTACGGTGGATCTGCTATTGCCAAATCCTTATTTGTAGGTGTGAATTGTAAAACTTTTTTTTATAGTAAGTCCAATTTAGCAAGAAAACCAATTCTTGAAAAAAAAGATTATTAAGAGATTTCAATTTGCAGGCATATAACTCTCATACGCTGATTAACTAGTAATTTCAACACGATGTTTCTGAATTTAGAAACCATTCAAATATATGGCTGTAATACTGCCAGTCAGGGAATGTTATCCTCATCCTAGTTCATCACAAAAAAAAAGAAAAACCACCAATGAATCTGTAGCACATAGCATCCCCTTTCTGTCGTGCAAAGCTTCCCAGATGACTCTGTTTTTCCATTTGATAGAATGGCCTAGCATTTGTTTCAAACTCCTGATGAAAATCAGTTCACATTCAACCAGTTACCATTACAAATCAGATTATGAGTTCGACCTATCTGACCTTTGATTCTTTGGCCACTTCCGAGGTCTTCGAAAAGCGTTCACAGAACCGAAATACTTTCTACGCTCACGTGCACATGGGAACTCTGAGCGCTCCACTCTCCATTGCTACCTTAGCTTAGTACCCTCTCGTGACTCTCTAATCTCCCATGGTTAGTGTCGTTAGAGGCCCTGAGAATCATTAGAAGGTACTTCAGTAAGCAGAGTAGAGCCAGTGCTTGTCTTCTGCTCGTGCGGTTTCACCTCGCAGACACTTCTACTGAAGAGGGAAGGGTGGAGGCGAACTCCTGAAGCAAGCTCAAGGGGCTCACAAAAGTTTCCTGCTTTCGAGAACTTCAAACACTTCGCATCTGTGTGTAACAATGTTTCAGGAGTCGTACGGTACTGACAAGGGGTTTCTAGCAACAACGAGCGTCAGTAGCCCCAAGTGGTACCAATTGTGGACGATACGCTTGCTGAACTCTGTCCCCGCCTTGGAATGAGTAGTCTCACGCAATGGAGGATATGATTCGATCAAGAATGAAAGCTTTAAATAAGATCCAGCTTCGGATGCGCTACGCACTCCACTTCCATTGATTATTACCATTGTATAGGGGTGGTTAACTATACATACAGTAGCGTGCCGATGTGCTGTAATTCCTGATATAGAAGTTATGCATAGCTGAAATTTTTCGCCTTTTTGAGCCGCCCACCTGAAATTACCATTTTTTCCTATTTACGTTGTACACATTCCTATTCAAACACAAGCCTTTTATAATGGTTGCTCCAATTATACGATACCCCCTAAGCGGGGTTCCAGAAAGCCAGCTCCATCTCGTTTGAAGTGACTGTCTATGAGCGACTTTTGTAGCACTCGGCAAAAAGCGGTATACAAGAATAACCATTATATCTACATAGCCTCATTTACCATGCTCTACTGTGAACTGCTTGATAGCCAAAACTGTAGGAATCAGATGAAGAAATATTGATAACAAAATTTATGAAGCCCTCAGAATAAACAGTGAATCGGCCGCCTAACTGGTAATTCTTTGAATGATCTTCTTGAGCACGAAGAAGAAATAGAAAATCCAGAAAATACCATTATTGGCAACATTGGGAATTAAAATAATAATAAGGACTTAAAGAAGGCCATAAGAGAGGTTGCTGCCTCTAATTGGCCCCCGACCTTAGCCAACCAACGGCCATCATCTCATAGCCCGAAGATTGAATTTGATGCTCACACAAATAGAAGGCACTAACACAAGAGAGTAGAAAATGGGATGAAAAGCTAGATCTCCAGAAAAGTAAACTAGAATAAGTGACTTAAGTGTACAAAAAGTCATGAATCTCATACACATTACCAGTACTCTTAGACAGGAAGGAGGAGAAGATTATTCGTCCGTAAAAAATATTGCACTGTTTGATCCTATTCTCTGCGAGGCTGCTGGAACAGGCTTCTTAGAAAAAGGCGAAGCTGAACATCTTCGAAGTGACGTCTTTCTCGGTAGCTTCATACAGTTCCTCTCCCCCGACGTCCTCCAGAGTTTTCAGGTAGGCCTGCCAAACGTTGCGATGGTGATCGAAGAACTCATGTCTTTTCATCGAATTAATCTCGTCTCTGGAAAAATTCTAGCAAATTTGTCATGTACTTAAGTCAAAGGCCTTGTGACACTTATTTCCCAACACTAAGCCCACTATTGTAGTTAAGAATGAACTAGATATACAATTATTGGAAAAAATAGAAAATTGAATCATATAACAGGACCTCGTGAACCATCTCACGTCGACAATCTCATCAGAGACCGTTTCAACACGGCCTACATTAGCATCTCTGACGTACTTCATCAGACACAGGAAAAAGAAGCCACACGAGCCCGTATATTCCGTACGAAGTCTCTGTCTGGAATATTGGTAAAAAGTCACTGGAAACGTCTTAATTTATTCCTGAAAAAATTCAGTAATTATGGGATTGTGAGGTAAGGTAACTTTTCCCCGAAAATCGCGCCGCGCCCGCCGCACCTAATCGCACCCAATCGCGAGCTATGAAAGGAAAGGTTTAAATTCCTAATGGAAAGATACGGCTGCCGCCTCGAAACCACTGCCGTTTGCTGAGGAAGTACTGCCACCTGGAAGTGAACTCCCGTACTGCCCTGTTTCAAAAGGTGTAATTTGCAAGCCCTCGAAAGCGAAAAGAGTCTGAACCCTATTAAGTATAGTGTGACTTCTGTTCACATTCCCGGATCGCACGATATACGTGACTCTCGAGAAACAAGAACTTCACCAATAACCGCCTGTTCAATGGTCAGATCTTCTTGGAAGCGACGAGGGCCCAGCGGTCCCACATCGACTCGCTACAAGTACGAATGTGATCATCACGGATACGTCCTTCCCCCCCCCCCCCCCCCCACGCCCTCATTCCCTGAGTTATTAAGTAAGCATGAGACAGTAGGCTCAATGGATCTAGTGCTTAAAAAGGGCAATTAATAGAACAGACCTCAGAGAGATGACGGCTTCGCCTTTAGCGACAACTCCGGTTTCTTCGAGAACCTTTCTTTCAGCCGTCTCAAGCAAATTCTCATACGGTTCAGGCATACCACCGGGGAACTTCCATAAGAACTTGCTGAAACGATGTTTTCAAACATATGAATGTGTACAGGGGTGGAATTCAAGTTGTTCCTCGAATATCATTTGCACGGTTACCCAAAATATTATGTTGGCTGCATTATGGTTTGCGTTTGCCACGTTTGCACATGCGTGCGACGGATCGATACCGATACCATTAGCGCAACGGCCATGGGGCGTGGCTACGCAAACGCACGCCGTTGGTGAACTAATGCAAACTATAAATACAGCCAGTGTCGTAAACTCAATATTGAAAATAAAACTGCAGACTCAAGAGTAGATGGAATAAAAGTCATACCGGCGCTGCTCGCGAACCATAAGGACGCGACCTGTCCCGTCGATGACCAACCCGGAAACAGAATAGTAGCTAAGCGTTGTCCTACAAAAAAAGTAAGATGACCGATGGATTTTTTCTCCGTGATACAAAATATTAAACCCTCAGTTCACGAAAAAAGGCTTCTGAGATTCCCCATGGAATGACTTCGAGGTCCCTCTTGGTATCATAAGAACCGACGTTAGATCGAGAGACGTCCTGAACAAGGCACTAAGCGGCCAGACCAGAATGCCACACCCAGAGCGGACGAATAATAACGGTATTGTAGAGGCTGCAGAATTCGTAAGGAAACCACATGACCCATAGCGAAGTGAAAGGCAATACTGGACAGTTTAAGCTTGGTGTAGTCAACTCTTTGCGCAGTTGCAGTATCTAAAATCTCGTCCAAACACCCCTTCCGTGCCATTTCCATCATGGTAATCTCGTACAACCTCAATTTCTATTACAATACTTTGAGGGAGCGTCATTTTTCGTGAAGTTAGCAAATTTTCTCTTTTTTCTTTAGCATAAGGCCCTTCGCTCTCGGCAAGAACCTCTTACAGGGGCGACGCGGTGCGCTTTGTTGCGCGCGTCCGTCGAATCTAGGTCACGCCGCAGCCGTCGCATGCGGCCAGTCAGCCCGCGATACTTGACGAACGTCGCAGTTGTCAATGGGGCATATGATTTGTGCTTGGTCCGCAGCCCCATAAAGAAGATAACACAGACAAATGCGAATCATTCGCTCCACTGACACTTGGAGGAACTGTAATGTCATCTCGAGACCTCAGTGGCGTGCGCCACGCGCGAAGTGGGCGGGGTGACCTACTTTCGAAGGACGCGCGCAACAGATGTTCCCGGACGCAAGGAGGAAAACGCCTACTATTGGTTGAAATTTCGATAACCAATCGTAACAATCACTGCACATTCTACGCGGCAGATGTGAAAGCATGGCACAACGCACACGTTTGTCGGTTTGCACATTAAGGTTCCTCACTTATAAATAAAATTATAATGATCTAGAAACTGTTGGGCAATAGAAAACAACCACTTACGGTGGCAACCGCGATGGCTTATCACTCAACCAGCAAGTCATCGTCATCTCACACGTGGCCGCATGAGCAAAGTTGAACCCAAGTTTTGCCAGATGAGGAACAACATGGCTATCCTCGAATGAATATCAGCTCTTTTCTGTACCAAATCAACAGAAATGAATGAAAAAGAATGCAATTCAAATATCGATTGGCACATGATCTACTCTACCGGTGAAACCGTCTTCGCGCAGATTCGTCGTACGACCCGCCCCATCTCAAGACCATGGTAAGGTTGTGATCGGCTTCAAAAACGTTTTACTCCTTCTTTCACCCAGGCTTACTTATGAAAAAACTATTCATGGAGGAAGAGCTGCAATAGACCATTACCGCTTATTCAGGTCTCACGAGGAGGTAGTGGGACAATCCACACGAGTGGGCAATGAGGCGAATTGGGTCGCCTTATACCGGTCAGTTGTTCCAGCCTTGCCCCTCAACTGAGTCACTGAAGAAGTAAATCTTTCTATTGGAAAACTTCATATTACAAGCTAACCAGAACGCACGATACATTGTCGTGCTTCTGTAAAGAGATCTGCGGCATATGTCAGGAAAAGATTTTTGTAGAAAAGAAACCAAAAAGAAACTAGCTGTTAATTGAATAGAAGAATATCAAGTAATATCATAGATTCAAAGTAGTTAAAGTTAGTGAAACTGTATGGAATTAGGAATATACCAGAAACTCAGAATGTAATGGCATACCGGCACTGAGTGGCTAATCCCATAGATTTAAGAAAACCGCACTGTAACGTAAAAATTGACCCATAGAAAAACATTAGAGTAACTGTTGCAAATCTCTAAGCTCAGCCTACCATGTCACCCTTTCACTTTCGGAAGAAAAATGAGTTGGTCGGCTGCCTTCTTCGAAAATCGGTAACAAATTATATGGGACAGCACAGGTAAGACATGCCAACTGTATTGCCTAATGCTTTACTCTTATAATACTACTAATACACTTATAAAGCTTTAGAAACTTGCAAAATAGTTATACACTACCAACTAGAGAGATCGCTTTAAAAACAGGTGGTTTTCCTGTGTAAATACTTTTTCGAAATGTAGGTTCAATAGTATTTTACAGGTTCAGGTCCCCTGAAATTCATGGTTTTTTGGCCGTTTTCGACAGAGCCGGTGAGATGAGACCGGTTGCCTTCTAAGGCGCAGCAGGTGTTAGAAATAACTACCGCCAGCGACCACTATAGAAATTGTTACGGAATAAGAGTTTACACAAATATAGCTAACCCACAAGTTACCAAACTTCACCTGCAAGCTGATATGCACCCATGCACCATTTAGTCTTCCTGCTTTCCAGGCTTTGAAGGTCTCGATGATTTCCGAAGCAAACCGACTCTCTTCCACCAATTCACGAGGCAAATCCTTTGTATGCATTACAGCATCAGCATACGAATTGACTATGTAAGGCAAGACCATCTTGAAGTTTCTGAAAAACCAAAGTTGTTGGGTTGTAAACAGAATGTTTTGTAAACAACACTAGATTCACAGGCGACATTCAAAAGGAGCTTGTGATTAGAGCTGAACTTACTTATACCCATACGTTTCTCGGTTTTTATTCTTGGCCCTTCAGTTCAAGTGATCATAAAATTGCGTTTGTCAAAGTATGGCAACGAAAAGGTTGTCGATAAACTTAGTTTGGAATATTGATTGGCAAAAAGAATCGCGCGCCTTTTAAAACGAGGCTTCGGCTAGTGAAGGTAGAAATCGATCGATAATCAGTACCCTGCAGATGAACAAAATGCTTACTTCACCATGCTTTTTTTCAGTAGTTTCTAAGGATACACTGGATATGCACTCAAGGCTGACCTTACTTCGAGGTCCACTGTAGTAGCTACTCTAATTTATAAAAAAAGAAGATTCCATGATTCTGACTACTTTCCATAAAGACACCTAGAATCCGAAAATAAATCACACTATACTTGATAACGATTGTATCGATTTTCTGCTTAATCATGACAAATGCAATCAAATTGTAAACATAAAATGATGTGGCTGAAATACGTTTGCGTCAGGAAGAAAAAAATATGAGTACGATAAGTATAGTGATCGAGTAATTGTAAGTAATCGTAATAGTAATAGTAATAGTTCCGTGTAAATTACGGTCATACCTCAAACTGGCACAGGTAAGTAGGTGTTTGGCGACTCGAGACCTACAAGGATAAAATTGAGCACTATGATGCTGATAATGATTGAAAAATTCGGTACGGAGTGATGAGTAGGGTATACCAGTAACAATGAAAGTTGTTGGAGAAATGATGAGTGATGCAAAGCAGTAATGACGAGTAGTAAGTAGAGCTGACATGGTCAAACGTGGAGCAGAAGGACCCTCTACAACACACCTTCCCCCTCCCCATTTCCAGATTCCCCGCAAGGATTTGCCACCCTACGAGAGACCCTGAGAGGCATGCTTTAGCATTGGAGGAAGAACCGGCGTGGTGTGGGGGCAGAAGCAGAAAAACATTGAGAAACAATCGAGCTACGCTCAGTCATACTACAATATTGAACCAGACAGATCGTTTCGAGATTACAAAAGCTAAACTGGTAATTGTACAACAATATACTTACTATTATACATACATATATGTATAATTACAATGATTATTGGTCAAAAAAAAAACAGAAAACAAGTATGACATCAAAAAATGAAAGCCACCAAACCAGAGTTCATAGTTAGCGCCGTAATGGTGTCTGCCGAAAGGTATCTCGTGCTAGGTATAACTATTTGTCGCCTCAGGGCCTTTCCTATGCAACCTTTAATTCCAACCTGTTCTGTTCTCAAGCAAGCACGATGAATTTAAGTCTGAAATCTTCTTCGAAAATATTCCAAAGAATTTAAAAAATGAGAGTCCACATGTTATTAAAATAGAATAAAATAAAATAAAATTAAGATATAATAGCATGTAATAAATGGTAATGGTAAATGGTAAAATAGAAACTGATGATCACAGAACCGGCCACTGCCGGTGTTAGATATATCTGCTCAGGGGGACGTGCACTACGTGCGTCCGAGGTCGCGCGCGGCAACTTGCGCGGCGAAGGTCGTGGCGATTTGCACGACTCTGACGCCATTTTTCGGGGCCCAAACTCGAAGTAGAGCAGTTTCTTAGGGTCAGATGGTCCTTCTGATCTACCCTCCTTCAAAACTGGGCCCCAATGATAGGCGCTAAAGTCGTTCAAATCGTTACGAACTTGGCCGCACGTCCCCTAGGACGCACGTTCGTACCGTCCCCCCGGTGTTAGATATATCTTCACACAGTCGCAGTCCGTAGATGCAGAATTCCCCCAGTCCCCACCGTTTCCTTGCCCAAGGCCTTTTTTGATGCGTCGGATATGTGACGGATGGGGGACGGTACATTTGTGCGATTTGAACTGCGCGCGGCAAACTGTGCGGCGAAATTCTTAGCAATACTGGCGACTTTAGCGCCTATTATTGCGGCATTTGAAGTAGAGTAGACCAGCAGTATCAGCCGCCCATGCTAATCTACTCTACTTCGAGTTTGTGCCTCAACGATGAACTCTGCAGTCGTCGAAATCGCCAAGAATTCCGTTCGTAGAATTAAATGCGACCATTGCTGTCCACCGGTGGCACGTGCGACTCTGAGAAGTGCACGCACCACAAGTGGGACGCAGAGCTTATTCGCAGCGTACTAGTAACCTGGGATGTATTTGAATAATAATTGCTGGAGTTGTTGAAACTCAGACGTAAATACCAAATGATGCCTTGGGGGACGAGATCTTAAAGAAACCAACTATTTTTATCAAATTCCGACAAACTCGTCCACCTTAAGGCAGCCTTTTTAAGAAAAACGAAAATTCGACCTGCTCCCTGAAGTATGCTGTTGATACTGACTCGAATGTCTAATTATGGCGGAACAGTCCCATACTGGACCCCACTGATTGTCACAGTATCGATAATTATCATGCAACTGCTCAACGATGTCCTGGTGTCTACGAGTAAAGGGACCTAAAGTTCACTCTTCCAAATCCCATCGGTGCTGCCTCATTCGGCAGCTGCCGTTTCAATGTGCACGTGTTCAGTTTTTGCCTGGTGGTTTTACTGGATTTCGAACCGAATGAATGAGAAGGAATTCCGTGAAAATAAAATGAAAGAAAATGAAAAAAGAAAGCCCTGAAACATAGCGTGACAAGCAAAATGGCACCGCTTTTTGGACAGGCTAGTCAAAAGTGAACGCGACGGGCGATTTCGTCACCGTTGCCTATTTCGTGTCAGGAATCACATTATCTTCAGGCTAGATAAGTGACCCGTTACATTCACAGAGGTTCACATGTTTGTCTACAAAAAAACCTGCGAAATGCTTATCAAAGGTTGAATCTTCCCTTACAAAAGGTCCGATTCTACATTATCAAAACGTGCATACGGCGGCTCCGTGAAGGCTATAGGCTATTATTTTGTCCATCTTGGGACCTAAACTTTTTGAATAACTTTAAACATGCTTTCAAATGATGAAAGATGGGGAATGAAGTTTTTAGGCGTTTACCAATCCCGCCTTTGGGGTGTGCCCCGCATTCGAATACTATTCAGAATTGTGAAGCTGAAGCGACTTGGGCCTATACAATGACTTATGGTGGCCAGTCAATGTACCAGTTTGGCTTTTATTCTCTCAAATGAGTCTAGTACCTTTAATTGATCCTAGAGGGATGGGAGGCTTAGTTAGCCTTGGCGAGAATCGATCCCGGATTCGAACCCGCGACCTTGCATGTGTGATAGGGCGCCCCTTGCCACTACACCACCTACACTCTTGCCATTGAAAGGATCTGAAGAATTATGATTTCTACAACAACAACAAACGTGCACATGAAGCAGTATGATCTATTTTCATGTGTAGGTGGGGAAAGAGTATCATCTGATTACCTCTGAAGACAACTGGATCTTTCAGTTTACAAAGTTGTTTAATTAATAAAGAAAATGAATCATTCGCAATTTCATTCGGCTTTCTGCTCTAGATAGCTATGAGTCAACCATCGACAGAATTTTTCATGTCAGCTTCGCCGTTGAAATGTGTCTTCACAACATATTTGCCCACCAATGGATGGAAATATACATATGTTCCCATCGATTATAATGTGAACATTATGGTATGGGCTTCGTTAAAGGTATAGTTTGGAGGCGTTCTTCAATACACAGAAGCCAGACGGTTCAGCTCAAAACAGCTGACAACTTTATTGATAATGATATGATCAAGTTGATAAAGTTGCCTTCGTCCCAAATGTCATTATGGACGATTGACGACTACGAATATGCGCAAGGATAACATTAGGATGAAAGGATCAAGTATTGGGGCGTTAATTAATCCCACCTGAGGGATGCGCCCACGCATTCGACTTCCATTCAGAATCGTAGTGACGGATTGAAAGCGTATGTGGCCGATACAATGACATGCGTTGGCCAACCGATGTACAAGTCCGTGCTTTTACCCTCCCAGGCGAGCCTGGTAACAGTTAACACTACGGAGGGATGGAAGACTCGGTTGGCCTGGGCGGATACCGATCCGGGATTTCAGGAATAGGATAGTAAGGAAAAGTGATATGTAATAGGTAAGCAGTACTCTACGATCAGAATGGCAGCGACGAAAAACCTTCAAACCGTAGTTTTTTTGGATGGAAGGATGAAAATTGAAGTTCCAAGCTTGGTTGATCCTGTTTTGAGATGTTTCTACCTATTTGGCTTCCTTTTTTAATTTGCAGCTTCACCGAAATACACTTTTGGTCGACTCAGTGACTTCCAGGATGAATCCATTGCGCTTTTATTCTGCCACGCAAGTTTGCCTCCGCTACTGATCCCGGTGTATGGAAGACTTGGATGATCTGGGCAGGTACAGATCCAGGACTTCATCTGCTTTCCTACCTTCCATGGTAGCATGATTCGGTACAATTTCATTTCCGTCTCTGTTTTTGAGGACCCTGTGTGAAATTATCAAACAGAGAGGTTGCTGCTCTGGCGATAGCGAGGTCCTGGAGGAAAGGAGGAACTGCGAGTTCCTCAATAGTATAGCTCTGGAAGTACTGACCAAACAGTTCAGGCACGGTTCTTTAAGAGCATCGCATTTTTTTCGTGTGGAAGCGAAGGCTCAAAGAAGGGTGAAGAGTGAAGAGCAGTTGTGAAGTCCAGTGATCTGTGAGCAGGAACTTCAGGATGTATTGGTCGAAGGAAAAGGTAAGAATTCGGATAAGTGCCATGTACCCAGTGGTACCAGCAGTTACCTTAGCTCCAAAACTGTAGGAAATTACTGTTTTCTTTTTCTGGTCACAAGTCGGTAGCTCTATTACTGCAAATCGAACTACATCAACTTTTTAAATAACTTGCACAATATGTACCCTCATAAGTAGATGGTAGGTATGTGAGTGCAATCGCTAAGTAGTACCATTACAGTAGTACCAACAGTAAATTACAACAAACTGACATATTACAATGATATAAAACGGTAATTAACAATATCAGTGACATAACAACACCTTTAGATGACCCTCTTTGAAGTTAAAAGCATCAGGAAAGACTTCGACTCGTTCCAAAACCTAGCAAAGGCAATGTTAGCGAATGTTCCTTTGCCATTGTGAATGAATGAAGGAGACCCGTGTGTAATACGGCACAGGACCGATAATACCGCAAGTTCGTCGAGTTTGTAGGTGAAATCATACTATACAGAATCATTTCTGTAGTATGTATTTCGCAATCCCAACAAATCGGCGATACCCGTCCACCGCGATGAATGGGAGACGGGCGAGCTGCGAGCGGGAAGAACGCGGGAACGCGTTGAGGACCGTGACCTGACCGCAAGGTTGGGAAAGCGGCTTGCTCTTCTGAGCGGTCAAAAACAAAGTAACATTAGAACATTAGAAGAATAAATTGCGTGGAAAGTACGAAGTTCGGTCTAATTGGTAATATAGGTCTCCCTTCGTAAATATGCATTTCCGAGACCTTTTCTGACGCAGGATTGTTTTGTTCTGCATTTATAGCCACATATTCAGAAATTCGGTCAGAAGTGATGTAGTGGCAAGTGGCGCACTTAACACACGCATGGTCAGGGGTTCAAATTCCTGATCGATTCTCGCCTAGGCCAACCTAGCCTTCCACCAGACCGTAGTCTTTTAATTGGTACCAGACTCCAGATTCGTCTGGGAGGTTAAAAGTACTAACTTGTCCATCGGTTGGCCACCACAAGTCATTGTACAGGCTCAAGTCACATCCAAAACGTCTCCACAATTCTGAATGAAATTCGGACGCAGGGCGCACTCCAAAGGCGGGATTGTATTTCAAAGCAAATTCAACACAAGTTTAGGTCTCAAGATGAACGAACGTTATGGCCTATAGCCGCCGTATGCATGTTTTGATAACGCGAATGTAGCAAAGACGAAGTTGGTGATTGTTTCTTTTCTTCGCCGCATTGTGAATGATTAAGGGAAACCCGTCCGTGATACGGCACAGGACCGATAATACCGCAAGTTCGTTGGGCTTGAAGGTGAAATCATACTATGCAGAATCATTTTTGTAGTGTGAATTTCGCAATCCCAACATATCGGCGATACCCGTCCACCGCGATGAATGGGAGACGAGCGAGCTGCGAGCGGGAAGAACGCGGGAACACGTTGAGGACCGTGACCTGACCGCAAGGTTGGGTAAGCGGCTCGCTCTTCTGAGCGGTCAGAAAGCTGGCTTCAGAACATTAGAAGTATAAAAGGCAAGAGTAAGGCGAGTAAAAAGTTTGGCCTGGTTAGCAATATCGGTTTCCGCTCGTAACTAGACGTTTTCTTCCCTATTCAGGCCATGGAGGTTTTATGTTAGCAGCTAATTTAGAGATTCATACGGACCGGCAGAGACTGAAATCCTGGTCACCCATACGAAGCTTTACTACCACCTGAATTTCCCAAGTAAGTTTGGAGTGCTCAGATTTCTTGATATGCCGAATTGGCAGAGTATCAGACCGCATCCGTTCTAATCTTGTTCGTCGACGTCCAGTCCATCCAGAATTCGTGCTGTCAGAGTGGTGAATTGATATCGAACTGGTAGCTTGTAGTCGACCAGTTTTCTGCAGGCACTGGAGCTTCTGTTAGGGAAGCGAGTCCCCTGGCAGTGGCCGGAGGGAGAGAAAAACATTCTCCGCTCTTTTTGTTGGCCTTTGTGAAACTTACTTCCTGCCCAAACCATGCTCTTTAGCTGGGCAGATTCATCGGTACTGTAACTCACACCACCAGATCAATAAACACCACCCGTATACATAGTAGTTGTGATCAAACACTTACTCGTATAAATTTCAAGAATTCTATGGGAAGGTTTTACTACAGAGTAATCACAAAACAAACATTTCGGCTACAACGGGTTGCGAACCCACATGCCACTGCCCCGAAGATATAAAAGCTGCTATAAAAGAAATAAGTAAACAATAACAGAAAAACAGATGATAATTTGCTCTCCATGCTTGTAACCACTCTTTGAGAAGGTAATGGTTAACACAAAACTATCCAATACTTTACAGGGACAGACTACTTCTTTCAGTAGTCACTCAATGGACACCTCAACTTTCGATCTACTCAGTCAGTCTGAGAACTAGATCAGATCAGAGCTGACTAGATCACATGGAGCCGAACTTCGATGGTACCACGATATGCCGGAGGTTGAGTTGAGCGCTCACCGAATCGTGGTGGTTTAGGTAAAGAAAACCTGTGAAGGTTATGTTTGGCTACAGTAAAATGTCCTTACAAGATCACAATTCCTCTTTTTACTCTTCTCTTTACTGCTAATGTACTTGTAAAGAGCCAATAAAAGGCAAATCTTTCTCAAACCCCGTTTAGTGGTTTATTTTGAAGACTTTTTCGCTTCTTCAAATGGCATAGTACAGAAGCAGAGGCAAGTTGTTAGGTATTACTAACTTGTATACGAGTATTCATATCCCTCTTTTGACTGATGTCAATTGATGTTGGATCAGGTGAAGTAAAGGGCACCTCAGAGATATATTTCGGAAAAACTCTGAACTAGAAACGAAATTACTAGTATTCATCCTGTGAGAAGTAATTTTCATATAAGGGCGACGTGGCAGAGTGCCTTTCCAACTGGTCACCAAACTCATTGTGTCCCGCCCATCAGCGTTATTTGCCCACATCCCCATTCTCGCCTTGTTATAACATTCGCCAACCACTTAATCCTCTCTGACCCTTGTTGCCCTACTGGCAAACTCCTCCTATAAACCGTGTTGAGTTGACCAAAGTCTGTCTGTTCTCTGTTAGTCTATGATCCTCATGGCTATGACGGAAAAAGATCGATGAAGTACCTCCAACTCGTGGTCTTACCAGTTTTGATCGTACTCAGTAATTGTCAATCAGAATGTGATTCCAAGGTGAGACCATTTTTCCAGTTCAGAGAGAACCTTTTTGTATGAATCTTTCGCATTCAGGCTAAGCGCAGCACATTTCTTTGGTCAGTAAGGAGCCCAGATCGAACTTCCAGAGGATTCCTCTTTGGGACTATTCATGTACCGTACACGGAAGTATGGGACAAAGGTAATACCTGAGTTCCTTGTCTCGATTTGTCCTCAAACGAACATTTTAACGAGGTCTAACTCAATTTTCTCTGAAACCTCAGGTACCTGAGACTCTTTTTTTGGGAGGTCCTTTCAAAATTTGCTGAAGGACCCTCTTGTGGCATGTGGCCTGTTTCAACCATGGATGCACGTATTTCAAAAGCTCACCAAAGCAAACCACTTTAACGCTTCGTTAACTATTCCAGAAGGGCTAAATGCACATTTTTGAGTAGGCATTCGCACCTCGACCGCTTTGTTCTGCGCAGCTAATTTAGCGTGAAGGCGAGGTGTGGAAGCTATTCAACAGCTTCACATTCAATATGACCACCAAACACTTGATATAACCCTTCTATTGTTGATAAGTTCCAATAAAAAGTGGTTTTCTAGCCAAAAGTCAGATTACTTTACAAGTTAATAGATAGTAATTGCGGTAAACGCCACCTGCTCTTATAATAGAGGCACCACAGAAGCTTTACACTGTCCTAACAGGGACCATCTGCGATTCGTATAAATGAATTACCATAATCAACGTTGACCGAATTCTTGGACCATCAAATCTCCTAACTGACAACTTACTGTAGCCAAAATTCCTATACTCCCTTGTTTTGAGACCTGAACCAAATCTAAGGTCTCCACTTCCTCCATACATTGCCTCCTACATGATTCTGGCTCTAGATCGGGAAAAGGCCCGAAACGGTGAAGATAAACATTTCTAGGCTTCAGTACTTGTAAGCCGTGATCTGCTCAAACTCAAGTATACTAGGCAGTAATGAACGCTATCATGCTGCTATAGGATGAAGCGCTGGTCACAGGTTGACCTCAGTCGGGATGCGCCATACATCGAATTTCACAACAAATCGCAGTCGTGATTGATTACATATCTGGCCAGGAGCTATATGATGAGCTTAGTTACTGTATACATATGTTGGATTTTTCACCCCGCTTGGATCTATTCTCAGTCACCCTATTTGGATGACCGAAGAATAGGGTTTGCCCGGGTGAAATACTTCACGGGTTACTAGTTATGCTCAGTTCAAGTATAATTACATGTTTGAGTGGTGTTTGAGAGTGTTGCCTGTCTAATTGCAGCTCACACCTTGTCATATAAATGGCAAGTAATCATTTTAGAGTAGCATGTATTCATTCTGTTTGCTTTATCCATGGGATGTTTGCAAAGATCTAGAAAGCTTCCTGAAGCAACACCTGGGCTTTAAAGGCCAACATTGTGCAAACAACCCAGATAAATAACAAACACAACATAGAAATCATGTTTTTATTTTCTTTTTTTCTGCAAAAATCTTCTTAAAGGGTGAGCTCTTTTTGGCCGGTCGGCCAACGGTTGGCGTTCTTTATCCGGGCAACCACACGCTACTGGGGTTCCTCAAGTATCCCTCATCCATCTTACAATTAGTCATGTTTCTGACTTTCTTGGAAAAAAGGGGGCTTTACAGAGGTACAGAGGTACTTGTTTATATCTGTCTGAACTAGTTCTGCTCATTTGAAAGTTTCTTTACAATAGCAATTCTCTTAATTCTTCTATTAATTTTCCGACCACGAATCGGGGGAGGGTGTGGAGGGCGGCATTTCGGATAATGGTTACTTTCCACCTTTCCTTTGGGTAAATAATTCAGGTGGATAGCGAAGGCGGATCAGGAGTTGAATTGAGAAATTTCCGTTTCATTACATCGCTTATATATATTTACATGGTAAAAAACTTATTTTATAGATTACTCCCGTATAATGCTTCACTACATCTTATTACAGCATTTCTTTTGATAGTATGTTTACATTTTGATAATATATTTACAGTATCGGACCGTGTACGTGAAGCGTTTTCCTATTCGGATACTGTACTGTTGGAAATAGACTTACGGAATGACGACACTGTAAAAAGGCTTATAAAATGTAAAAATCTCAAGCGGAAACAGACGGCTGCCAGCTATTTACACCCAAAACTGCATCAACGGATCAAGGACTGTAAGTGATGCTACACTTTCTGTTTCCTCACGTCATCTGATTAGGTTTAAGAGTGATAATCAGTTCATTTTGGAAATACAATTTAGTTATGGAAAACTTCCGGCGTACTCTGCTCAGATGCGTTCAGAAACAGGATCAACACCGACCAGATTCCTATAAAATGGCTGAGGATTTGTATGAAAATATAGCTGGTAAGTTTGGGATCGCCTGAGAATGGGGTCCCTTTTTTCTGTCTGAATTGAAGTCTGAAAGTGAACTAAGTGAAGTCTCAAGTCACTCAATTACTCAATTGCTTGTAACAAATCCAAAGTTTACTTTGTATTGACTACTTGATGATAATGAAGGACAACCTTTTGGCAATCACATTACTAATTTGTTTTGTACCATTATCACGCACTATCATTCAGAGCAGATAGCCTTTTCAGGGAATTGGGATCGTAAACGACCTGAATGGCTACTATTTGCTCTATACCAGTTATGTGAGAACTTTCTCGATCGACCCACCACACCGATGCTTGATGTCTTTCTCGCTAACAAAGCATATGAAGAAGATAAGCAAATCCATGCCATAGAGACTGCACATGAACAATGTAATCCTGTCGCTTCACTTACTCAAGAGGAGGTAATTACCTATAAGTAAGATGTCTTTTCAGAAGTACTGCGATGTAATGTTGGAAAATTAGTTCAGTCACCTCATTATTTGGCATTGCTAGTTATTCAGTTCCTATGAATATGAGGGATTTATAGCTCAGAGACTGCTCAAAAAATAGTCTTTCAAGAATCTGCTCAGTTTTCAGCCATCCCTTACTCTGAATAAAAGACTCAGTGGACTAAAATTGAAAAATTGCTGTAGGGGTCAAAATAAGAAGAAAAAATAAACTTTCTTGGGAAAACGAGGTGTAAAGGTAGGAACCGTTCTCTGGAGGCACTCACTACAAAGAAATCTAATTTTTATACGTTTTTCAATCTCCATACTTCTCAATCTATTTCTCCTAAAGATTCTAAGCTGATATGGGCAGCTGATTCTTGCGATCCCTGCTTTTGGAAGTGCGTGCCAGATTTTTAATATTACATTATTACTTACATTTTACCTGCTTAAATAGAGACTTGAAGTAGCAAAGGCACAGGTAAAATTGGGTGTTCAGGCTTCAAAAGCTCTTCTCGTAACTGTTAACTTTCACTGGCTAGTTCCTGTCCTCTAGGGGCTGTTTTCAATTAAAAAATCTGAGTGGAAGTGGTTTTGGAAAAGGGTCCTCCTACACTCTGTAGCTGCACCTACGGGTCTTACTTATGTATGAGCCTGTTTCTGTTTCCCAGGAAAATCTGATGTCAAGTAATCGACCCATGGGACCCTTAATCTATGACTCCAACCGGTGAGCCGTGAAAGCGACAGCGTTGCATTTTCCACTAGAAAGACCTTGGAATCGATGTGGTGAATGCAAAAGGGTCTGAAGAAATGGGCTGGCCCATAGTTTGTTCGAATATTATATGTCTCTGAAGAGATAGATCCAGAAAGTTCCCAGGACCTAGTAGAAAGCCTGATTTTCATATTTTCTCCTCAGGACCCTTGAATCATTTAAAATTAGGTTCATTATTACTAGAAGAAGTATATGCGCGATCGCGTGCCTCAAGCTCCTTGAATTCATTGGGCAACAAAGGGGGGCGACAGATTGTCAGCGTAACAAAAGGCGATGGAAGAGGTCGAAGGCAGACATAATTGATCGGTCCCCTTTCACACCTTGCTAGCAGTAAAAGCTTCAATTAATAAGGGCTATTTAGACCAAATTGAACACATGTCCTATGGAGGCAATTACAAGTTAATCACAGTACAAATATTTGGAAGTCAACTGAGATCCACCGTCGAATTGCTTCGTTTCAGATCATTTTCGCTATCAACTACACTGTACATTACTTGGAATATCTTCACCACACGAAAAAACTGTTTCAAACAGACAACCAGCGTTCTTTGTCTACATTGGTAAAGGACTACAGATGTGGAAACCTTGATGATCGTTACTTTGAAAGGAACGAATACGCCGTCAACGGTTTTCACATGAGTGAGGTGGAGAAACTTCGAGCTGAAAAAGTAAGTAAAGGTTGAATTCGGTTTACATGTTGTTTTTGTTGTTGTTTTGAGCTCAGAACAATTAGAAGGATGAAAAATGGTGAAGTGTCTGGGCACCAATCAGTGTCGTATGAGGGATGCGCCCTGCATCCGACTTCTGTTCAGAGTCGTGGTGACGTATGGAATGCGCTTATGGCCTATATAAGGACTTGTGGTGGCCAGCCGATGTACAATTCAGTGTTTTTATCCTCCCAGACAAGTCTGGTACCAATTAACCGACACCGGAGGGATGGAAGGCTTGGTTGGCCTAGGAGGGCATCGAGCCGGGATTCGAAACCGTGACCGTGACTGGGTATAGTGCGCCACTTGCCACAACACCACCTCCGCCCCACGTACAGTTAAAAGTGATAAATGTGAAAACATTGTTTTTCTTCTGTTCGCTTGTGCGTCCTACTTTGAAGTGCCCCAATTCTGGATACCACTTCACTCACTAAACATGAATTCCCCTTCAGAGGCTCGCATCCTGCTTGAGTTTTCAGGAAAGTTTCTAGTTATATCTTTTCTGATGACCGGCTACTTCACGTGCTACTTCAGTGACTTCATCATATTCATTAGAGTGCTCCTCTTCCTCGTCTTTCTCTCCCTGTTCATCCCGGGCTATCCGTTGGTCCTGTACTAAGCAAATATTGCGCGGTGAGCCAGGATGTGTACCACTCTTGTTCTATGCGAATGTGCCGTCAATGGCAAGCCACCGAATAAGGGTCAAAGCTTATTAGTAAAATCAAATGAGTATCTTTTCTTGATATTGCCTTCAAAGGAGGAAAACCCCAATGTGGAGGACTCCCACGAGAGGATTCACCAAAGCCCTTTTTTGTCATGACCACTCTATGCTCTAAAAAAACTGTTCATGAAAATGGATTTTGATTTTTATTATTTATGGATTTATTTTATTGCTTTAAAATTATTTTGTTAATCGATTTTTATGTAAACAATCATTCACTTGTTACAGATTCAACGACATTTACGGGAAGATATAATTGCCAAGAGAAACGAACGAATGGCACATCGTCTTCATCGACTGCTTTCGGCTAATCCTCATATCACAATATTCTCAGCTATCGGTACCGGTAAGTATTGAAGTAATACAAGCTTTCCTAATTGAGAAAGCCAGTAAATTTTCGGTCGCAAGTCACAAGTAAATGTTCAGGGCACTTCTTCGGAAACGGCAGCATACTTCATCACTTACACAACATGGGTTACATCATTCAAAGTGTCAAAGAGGACGATATCATGTAAGTTTCTCTGTAAAAATTCATTACTTGACAAAAAAGGACATTACCATCACCCACATGGCATCAAATCCCTTATCAAAATCAGCTCGGTAGATCATTCCCTCCACCTCTCCACGAACTGTATTTTGAGACCAGAATTGTTAATGAGTATAACCTACTGAATAACTTCACAACTGCACTGGAAACCCCCTCTCAGCCTTATTCATTGTCCCAGCATTGTCCCTGAATCTTTTTTTGGGTCCCTACCAACTTGGAAAGTGAGCTACCCCCTTTGCTCCAATGCTGCTGATGGAGGACAGAACCCGTTCTCAGGCTACTGCTGATCTGGCAGCTAAACAGCTTTTTCTGGGTGAATTACTACTATTGTGTAGTGTAAATATTCGAAAAGATCCCTTAATGCTGCTCCCTTGGCAATAAAACAATTTCATTTCAATCTGGATCCTTTCCAAAATGTGATTTGATCTGCGGAATGGATGCAAGGAAACTACGGTATCAGGCAATGGCGGGAGTTCAAATTGCCCAGAAACTGAGATTGGGAAGTGTAACTACCAAACGTTAAGCATCATCATTTTGCATGAGGTAGTCAAAGATCAGAATTCCTGGTCTAATTGGTAGACGACGGTAAGTTCAATATGGAACCGAACTGCATAACAGTTAAACCCGATCAAATTCATCTCCTCCAACTTCTTTATTACGACTGGTAGTTTGTCCTCTTTTTTATAGTGTGGGCTCTAGTAGCAACCATCTACTCTCCTGGTCCTCTTCTGAATAAACTACGGTTCGCTTACTGTCCTTAAACTATCTTAATTGTCAGATATTGTTTCAACCGTTCGGATACCTCTCGTAACATTTCTGCCAATGTTTCTAGGTTTAGGGTCAGTGTGAAGCAAATCTTGGCCCAAAATTGGTCGTTTGTTCCTGACACACCCCAACCTAACTTACTGGTAGTTACGCGTTAGTTATGGTTCGATCACTAGACAAGGATTGATCTCCCGCCACGTCCTCGTCTCCTCAACCTTAGCTAAACTATGGATGGCTTGCGACTGAACTTGGTAGCTGGTTTGGCAAAAAGGATTTCCTTCCAAGTTCATAACTAGTATCACTTGAACTCACCATCAGTACTCAAAATTGCAAGGCTGAAAATGTTTTTTCAGAGATCCACCACGAAACTATGGCAAAACAATCACATTCAACTCACTATGGTTACGTGATCATCCATCTGTGTCAAATGTGACGATCGAAGTGATTGAAGTCAATTCATCATCTATTTCCTTATCTAGTTTACTACTTTTACTACTTCCAATGTTTTATCTGAAAGACATCCGTCTATTTGAAGATAGCCTTTATTGATGGGTGATCTCGGCAATTACTGTATTTCTACGCATTCTTCATATTAATATCAAATATTGTGAAGTAAAGATCTCTCTGAAAGTCAGCCATTCTTCAAGTATGTCGAATTGATTCACTACTGTAATTAAATTGTTATGTCAGCGATTGTACAGTCCTGCCCTATTTGTATGTGTATGTCCGAATTACTAATATCAGATTATTTGCTGTGAAAAGCGTATAGCCATAAACTATAATACAAGTACATCTTGAATTTAATTTATTCCACAACCCACATTGATTTTGCATAAGTTATTCAGCAAAGTAGTAAATAAGAAATAACAAAATGTCAGTTTCAAAGAATAATTCAGAAAGTGTGAAACCCTACATATCAGTCGGGGTAAAAAAAGGGGTGCATGCAAGAAAATCAGAACAAAAAGTACCATTACAATAATTTGTGCTTGGAAATGGGTGCTTGACATTATAATATTAGCGGTTACAAAAAAAACTGAATGAGAATTCGCAGATACTCTGCAATGGCTTGGGCTTCGCAGCACCCTTTGGAATGTCGTGTACTACTCCCCGTAACCTACAGGACAGCTAAGTCACCCCGGAAAATTTCCCGAAAAGGAGTAGCCGTGATTTTTTTGGTGTCTAAATTGTCTAATAGGGAATAAAACCTGATTCAATTGTAGAAAATCGGTAAGAGCTACAGTATGAGTCGAATTCAGATTCATCCAGCCCTTCGATCTTAAATAAACTTCGTAAATGTGTCTTACTCCAACTCAGATATTTGAACCAATTGAACTGATTGATTTTACCATTGGACCTATTACATTTACTACAAGTATAAATTTCCCGTTTTTTCCCCTGCCCTGATAGATAGATGCCCAATGGGACGGGAAACGCCCGACACAGGTATTCGCTATTGCTAGGCTGAGCCCAAGCCAATGCAGGGGCCCTCGACATTCTCGTGAGTACAATTATCAAATAATAGATCTAGTAGAAGTACATCTGTAAAGTTACTTGCAACGTACATCAGTCCTCGTTATGTGCACTGGACAACCATGCAATTACCCGTTTCGGTAGAGCGTTAAATTCCTTTTGAATTATTTCTTCCCTCTCGGCGTCGTCTATGATGTCGTTGTAGTAAGTGCCAACTTTCTAAATGAGTTATTGAATGCCAGTAAAAGCACCTCATACATTGAATCATGTCCAAAATTTCTCTTTATTCCCTCGTCTGCTATGGTTATAAGCTAAAAAAAAAGCAAAAATTGCAGGCATTGGTAGAAACACAAGTTTCAGAGCTTCCTTGAATTTCATGCAGCCACACAGGTGCTACACAAAATAAGTATAAAATAGGAAAAGCTAAAGAAACGGAAAATAAATGTGAACCCTGAGCGACGCAAAGTACCCGTAAAAGTTAGAGGTGGAGTACACGTCGGAGGCGTTGCCGTCTGGCGCGAACCTCATTGGAGGGATGGTTGAGGGAAGCGCGTGAACCCTCCAATGAGGTGAGCGCTGAAGTATGGCAGCTCCACCTTCGCGTTTGCTGTACAATCGGCCTCAGTGCTCGAACGTGCTCCAAAGCTGCTTATTGTAAGCAAATTAGAGTGAAAACGCTGGCGTTCTGCAGTCATGCTGATATCACCTCCCAACCCTCAAATTGTATAATTTAATTTAATTTTTAGTTCTATTATATAGCACTATCGTTGCATATTTAAAGAAAACTGTATCCCACCTCTTTGAAACATTCCAGAGCAGAAGTAGATTTTGCCAAATCTTCCATACGCTGAAATGATGAAGCTATGAATAAATCATTAGTTGTTCATACGTTAAGGAAAAAAGTACAAACTACTTTTAGGTGTTTGAACCTAAAAATGACGAAAAAATAAACTAAATGCAACCGAACAATAAAAGAGAAGAAACATTTGAAAAGTCAATACTGCTGCAACTTGGAACGATTAGAAGTAAAACCTTAAGGCTCACCAATTTCTTCAGGATTTCATTGACCTGGTCAATTGCTGCCGAAGTGCGATTCATGATATCCTTAGTGTGCAGTTTTTGTTTTTCGCTGAGATTCGAGGTTTGGAGCAGGAAGTTATTTAAATTTTCAACGAATGCCGCTAGCTTAAAAATAGTTGAATGACTAATTTACACTTCTGGACTCTGTGCTCTACGACTCAAGAAAATGCCATTGAAAGTGAGGAATACCTCGAGCTTATATTGTTCGAAGAGAGGTATGCGATGTTTCGGTAGCATAGCATCCCATCGTCCCTTAAGGAAAAAGGACCACTTGAACAATCAACAGAGAAATAAATCAAGAAAAGGAATCAAAGGCACTGTCCTCTGCGAGCGCCGCGCTACCTCGTACTTCTTCAATATGGGTTCCAACTACCCACTAATCAAAAATTCCAGAACTAGTTCTACAGTTTTCTATAATGCTTTCTATCGGAAGCCCTCGACAATGTAGCTCTTCAATGAGAAAATAGGAAGGATAAAGTTCATTTTATACTTTCAAAAGCGATAAAAACGATTTTATCCTTCTTATCCTTCCTAAAAAATAACTTGGCACAATTGTTTGCCTTCCTAGAAACCTTTCAATGAAAGGGTCCCTTAAAAATCGAACAGTGGTGTCAAGCTTTTAAGCCATAAGCAAGCATATACGACCTGATTCCCAACGAAAAAATTTACGTTCCAGTGGGCTTCATCTTCTAGGGCGCGCAGGAGTCCCCCCCCCCCCCCCCCCCCCCACCCGCCCCCGCTTATGGCACGCGCCGATCCCTTGCTAGTTGTCTCGCCACGTACCGTGTTCTAGTTAGTTGCGTATCAGCCTTTTTATCATGTGTGGCTAACCCATGGGCGTAAACATGGAATTTCATATGTCGTTTGTTCTACGAATTTAGCGCTCGCCGCTCGCGGGAAATTCGCGACATTATCTAACGAAATATACCTTGATTTCTTCATCTGTAAGTTGCTTATTGAGGAAAAGCTCTTGCTTTGAATACATCATAAAACAGCTGGAAGGCGGTGGACATGGAAAATCAACACGAAACGTGACCGATGAAGGAATATCATTAGCTTGGCATATTAAACTCAATATTTGACCTGGAACACGGAAGATACACCCCTTTTTTACACAGATTTGTATACATGTTAACTTACCTGTTGTCATCTCATCGATGGCACTCATAGCATGGATAATGTATTTATGAACCTCATTCCAAAATACTTCAAATTTAGTGCGTCCAATAGATTTGGCCTTAAGAAGTTCTTGACGATGAAATTCTCCAAAGGGCAGGGATAACTCGTCCACCGATCGCGTTTTCAGTAATTGCTAAAACAAAAGATGTAGAAACTCCAAACCAAACCCGACCATTCGTAAAGCAAGTGACTATTCAGCGAATTTTCTGAAAGCCTTTTCAGATAATGCCTATTTCTAGCCCCAATCCGACAAGGTGACCAGCGAATTTACATAAGGCAACTAATCCCTTAACTACTACATTCAGATAGATCCTTAGCAAATCCTGAACTACTGTGATCAATTTCCATAAATAAATCTGATCAAAACGCTTGTCTATCTCAAGCCATCGTCTTAATTTATCTATTTAGCTTTTTGACGTAGTGGCAGAGGGCACGCATTTTCACGAGCATGGATCAGGATCGAATCCTGGATTGTCACCCACTCATGCCACACAAGCTTCCACTCTCCGCGAATATCAAGAGCTTCTGGGAGGATGAAGATTGTGTAAGCCACGTATGTATGCATTCACAAATACCCCTATGATTCTGAACGGAAGTCAAACGCGAGGATACATCCCAGGAACGGGTCGATTAACGTCAAAATACTTTCAGACTTCTTTTATATTGAACGCCTTTTTTTAAGTTCCCACAGGGTCAAGTTCAGAAATGGTAGAGAATGGATGAACCTCACAATAAGCTGCCATCGCATTTGGTCGTAATATACATCGAACATCGCCATCAGAGACTAATTGCCGGATTTGTGACTGATACTCAAGTAAAATGTTGTAAGCAGAGGCTGGACGAGTAGAAAATTGTGTAATGTCATTATCCTCCATAATCTGAAGTGATAAATTGCGAATTATTCTCAAACTGTCGCTACCGAAGGAAATAAAAGACTGATAATGGAAAAGGTTGTTGAGTTAAACTTCTGCCTGTAAAGGAAGTAATGTAGGGAGGTAGGCTGGCCCAACGTCCGATATATTGATGCAGATCATAACAGCTCTCTTATTGCTAGTCACAAAATTCGGTTTCTCTACTTCTTACTTTTTACCTACTTTTGTTACAGCTTACTCCTCTGACTGTTATGCTAGCGAATGTCGTCCTTTATATTAAACGCCTTCTTTTTAAGTTCCCACAGGGTCAAGTTCAGAAATGGTAGAGAATGGATGAACCTCACAATAAGCTGCCATCGCATTGGGTCGTAATATACATCGAACATCGCCATCAGATACTATGTCGCTTTTTCTCTACACGTTTGTATAATACCACTTTCACATATTGTATCCCACCAAAAGGTGGACTAAGGACTAATAAAAAATGGTGAGGTCGTATTTATTCATATAATAAAAACAAACTAAGAAGAGGTGAAAAGAGTCATGCATGGACCTCACAGTACGCTGGCATTGCATTGGTTCGGTATATAAATCGAACATGGCCATCAGGGACTAAATGCTGGATATAGGGCTGATAGAAGGATAAAGGGTAATGCCTTTGGGCGTTATTAGCCCGGCCTGAGGGATGCGCCTAGCACTCGATTTCCATTCAGAATCGTAGTGGTCGGTTGAATGCGTGAGACCTTTACAATATCTTGCAGGTGCCAGCCGATGTACAAGCTTTTATCAACCCAAAGAGTCTGGTACCAATCAATCGACTCTGGAGGGAAGCAATGCTTGATTGGCTTAGGCGAAATCGATCCGGGATTCGAATCCGTGTAGGGACTGATACTCAAGTGAAATGTTGCGAGCAATTGCTAGACGAGTAGGAATTTTTGTAATGTCAAAGTGTCAAAAGCAGCCTGCCCCATCTTGAATTGAACCGCGCTCAGACCGACTGAACCTACTTTGCATCTCCAGTCCAGTTGTACTGAAAGGGCAAAATGTTGAATGAACAGTTGCTCGACATGGAATGTCTTGTACAAGTCGACTGCGGCTTCAGACTTCCCAATTGTTCCGAATACATCAGTTCGGTAGCGAGTTTTTAGTAAACATGCTGATCCCTGAGCACTGTAATTTCTAATGTACCATTTACTGCCGTTAATCAGTGTCTTATGAGGTCTTCCACAGTTGCTTTTATAATTAGAGTTATCGTATTTGCAACAATTACCAAATTTAAATAAACATCATTTCAATATAAGAAAATAAGTAAAGTCTATAGTCGTAATCAATCCCGTTTTGGGATACGCCCCGTATTCATCTTCCATTCGAAACCGTAGTGAGTTTCGAATACGNACCTTGTGGTCTGTATGTACAACCATTTCCGATGGGTAACTAAGGTGCAAGTCAGTGCTATTATTCTCCCAGGCGAGTGTGGTCCTGACTAACCGATTGAATAGCGGCGAAATTCTCGCTTGGTTTGAAGAGATGCGAGCCGTGATCCGTTCTCAATACCATACGCGTGTGATAATGTGCCACTTGTCACTACACCGTAGCCCTACTTCATATCAAGCACTGTAGTCTCGACAGCCCTCGTAACCTTCTCGGATCCTTCGAAAACAGGAAGCGAGTTCCAACATGACCAAAATGAGCATGGACTGTTGTATATTTCATCGAATGACTCCAGGAGAGGTCATGATGAAGTTTTTTCATCTAGGATTAGTAATTATCCATTTGATCACAGTAATAGCATATATAGAAAATCCACAAAGTTTATGATTTTTTCTTTCTATGCTTCAAGGTTTTTAGAAACTTTTGAAATAGGCTTGGTACTTTTAGATATAAATGACATCCTTTTATGGAAGCGCCCGTCAAGAACATAGCTGGCTAGAGAAGGTCACTTACCTCAAAAAAGCTGTAAAACTCATTATATCATGGTACCCTATTGAAAACTCAAGCTACCAACGTTCTTGAACTCGTACCTCCGAACCTGGCTGGTGTGTCTCTTCTTTTGTTCCTCCGCAGCCTCTCTTTCGTTGCTAGCGAGAAATCATTGGTAGAGACGTCATCGCTTTTTACTATTAACAAAGTATTAGCCGATTTCTTTTTAATTCTGTAGAAAGGACATTATCCGAGAGTCGTTCGAAGGTACTCCACATTCCACTCGGGCCACCTCCTTTTTTGTTCTCCTTGTTCAAATCTTTCTCAGCGGCTTCAAACAGTAATCAATTAACCCAACTTTCACGCAGCAGTAATAACTTATCACCTAAGTGCACTGAGCTTTTCAATTTGTGCTCAAAAGATGATTACTGGTAAGTAACATTGAGATTTCGTTATCAAGGCTGCACACTTTTTTCCAGACGTCCCACGACATTTTCTGCTGTCATTTTCTGAACCAGTTTACGCGTTGTCATTTGAACTTTGTTATCAGTCTTTGTGCAAAAGTTTTTTTTTTACCTGCACAATCAAACCCATCTATTATTTACTTTGCATGCCTAATTACTATTGTAATATTACCAGTTCCTGCTGTCTCAATACTTCTTCCTGTTTGCTGGAGCTTACTCATGGAACTGGAATATCCAGACTGAAATAGCTCTGTGCCAGTCTGATTCTGGCTTTTAATTTGTAAATCGAGCAGGTGCGATGTCTCATCATCTACTTTTAGGATCATGCCAGTTCATACTGAAGGGCATACGAAGCACTGACGACGGCATTACATGTTGCCTATACAAGTATGAACAGCTTTACTAGTAATTAACAACTTTAACGAAGCGTGTATGGAAATTACTCGGTACGAGGGCTACCCAATGGCCAGATTACCGCTTCGAAAGAGAAAGTGCTAATGAACCGACGAGTTTCGCCCCCCAAAAGTGACCAGAAAAGCCGTTAAATGATTCTTCCGCTGTTGTTAGCAACGAGCAGTTTCAGAAGGGCTTCTATGATGGTCTGAGGTGAATCCTTTCAGTAAACAGATGGGATTCCTACTAATATAGCATTGCAGGGGGAAGCCGTGACGAGGCGCAACACATTCGAATCAATTCCGACAGCTACGAATACGTGCTATTACGCAGCGAAACATCGACTGAGTAGCAGCCCGTCTTCCATCGAGCACCCAACTGCATCCACCCACTGGACTGGACTACCACCATCACGTTGGTTTTCAATCATAGAATGAAAAGGAAATGTTTGTAAATACAAAGTAATCTCAAACAATCCAGTAGATTTGGTGGGAATAAATTTAAATTGAAAAAATCTAAATTGGTGTAAGAAATATGTTCATTTATCTTATTGTAACACCGTCTGCCGCTCTTATGTAATGGATGTTATCGCCTCACTCTGTACAATAGCAATAAATAAAATAATTAAAAATAAAACGGGAATAGCTAATTTAGGCTGCCCTTTCTTCGAGATTATGCTCGGCTTAACAAGGTTTCTTTCACTTGTGGATAGAGCAGTAATTGAGTGAAAATGAAAAACCTTCAAAATCTCGTCCATTCCATTTCAATGAAGCTCACTCACTTCTCAAGCAATGACTGCTTTATAGATTCTAACACTTTTTCCTGCTTCAAACTCGATTTTTAGGGCGGCAGCCTCTCAAAGATCAGAGATCTCAATGTAGTAATTACTTTTTATATTTTCTGATCACCACACTATACTTCTTCCATTATCGTTAAGCCCGTTCAGCAAAGACCCTTCGGTGTTTTTTTATATTATATTTTTATTTTATATTATTTACATGACTATGTATTATATTGTGGCTCCATTCACTTGCTGCAGCTTAGTAAAGAGGAGAATGGTGCCGTAATGGTGCTGAAACCGAACTTTTTGTGGTTTTCATCGCAAATATGTCATTCGTTTCTCACGGTATCACTTGGCAGAAAGAGCCACATTGATAAAAGTCGTGGGAACAAACTATATATAGAAAAGACGCAATAGAACTATCTATGTTGGACAGATCTATTCTGGGTGCGCCATGCGTTCCACTCCTGCCGGAAATCGTAGAGACTTTTGACAGCGTATTTGGCTGTACACGTTATAGAGCAAGCCGTTATCTGCCCCTCTAACTGCTCACAAAAAGAGTGGGTGGGTGAAGAGCTTCCGTGATGAACCAGATTTTTCGGTGTTTGTTTCCTGAACCATTTGTGGGGAGGAGGCGCTGCTTGTTGCTCACGTGTCTAGTTCTTCACGTACATATTTACATAAATATGCCGACGGAAGAGGTGGAGTAGAAGTGGAACCTCCTGCCACGCTCACACGCGGTTTTTTTAGATCTCGCCCGGGCCATACAAATCAACTTTTCTTTCACGGTTAGAGGCTGAATTGAGTCAGACCTCTTGTAAAAGCCAAGTACGAAGCCATTCGACCACGGGATCCCTAGTTGGTGACTTCCGTCAGTTGCATACATCAAGTTTTGGAAGCTCTTGAGATTAGTCGCTTTCAAGAATGCTTCGAGAATGATCCTCTCTATGCTTCAATCGCCTTTTCACCTTTTGCTTCACCTCCTCAACGTAATTTGGAATTTCTACATATAACTTCAGGTCGAGAAGTTTCACATAAATGTATTTTTGGTTTCCTTAAATGCTTTGTTTGGGCTTTTAGATTACAATTAGGATTCCCATGATCCATACAGTCCTAAGTGTCTGGTCTTTGTAGGGTCACGGCACAGTGAAAGCGACCAGCAGCAACTCTCTCCCAATTCGGTCGATTGGGCCTCAGTAAGCAACCGGGGTGAGAAGCATTGGGGCGAAATCCCGTAATGATTCTACACCTGTGAACTTAATAAATCTCTACAAACACCTATGATCATGAATTATCGCTGAGGGTTATCAATCCGACCTTGCCAAGATATTGTCAATATGCGCAATGTTGTACAGATTATCTATGAATATGTCAATCCCCTGTTCGTTGCTGCGGTAACCGGTCATCAATCCTTGGATAGCTAATCAGTTGCAAATCGTCTTCCCTCCTAAGTCTTCGCGGCTGCATGGCAACGGCACATACTCTTCCATAAATATTCGTGAGCGAACGCCTTATGGCACCGTCTGACACCATTAGAAGCTTCTGTTGGCCCATTAAAGAACTCCTCTGAGTTTCCTAGAATCTTCTGGCTTCCTCCTTCCCTCTTTAGAACATCTATTTATCCCTCGTCGGTTCCTGTAAGACTACGTTTGATCTGATTTAATCTTATACTAAGTTACTTAGTTATCGTTTAACAATATCGTACCAGAAGCTTTGGAAATCTCCTCTGTTCACAGAATAGCTTACTGTTCATCAATCCTCAACTGGTATTGCAAAGCAGTATGCTTGATTCATGGCTAACTTGCACTTGCGAGTATTACCTCTCTCCCTTCAATCATATCAATTTATCATATTTGGAGGTCTTTATGACCTCTTTCTCTTAACAAGAGAGTCCTCGAAAGTTTTTAATTTTCTGAATTTTTTTCAAGTTTTTTTCAAATATTCAATGAAATCGCAGTAGTATCTGTAACTACAAAGTTTTACAACAATATGTTACCCAAAGTTGACCGCAAATATACTGCAAACACTTTTGTTTACGTTTTGCTTCATATTTATTCTGAACAGCTTTGAATTACCCTAAGCTTTTGGATTATTGCGATGGCATTTGTGTGAGTATCAGGATGCAGCTTGCTGCAGATTTGTTGCTCTCGATAATTGTTTTTATCCGGCGATAAAAAGGCTAATCGTGTGAGATTCTTGTCATACGCAATAATGTACACGCGATGCTGTAAATACCCTGAAAAACTTGTTACGAATAACTTGTATTCAGAACTAAGAATTCCCGTCAAACATCTCAATTCCATTCTTTCGACTATCACATGATGGAAGCTCACCAGACATTCTGGGGGCAACTCATCAAATATATTGAGACTTACGGACTGGCGATGGTCGTCCTTACAATTACCGTGAGTTATTACTTCTTAGAATATATAGAGCTTGGAAAAATAAGCAGCACAAGTAGTATGGGAGGTAGGTTTCACTAGATGTCTCAGTAATGAACTCAACGAGGGGACCAGGGGTAGGTAGAGTCGTGCTGTAGACAGGAGTACGTGCACTAACCGTCCTAATTTGGAGAGGTAAATAAGCGTATGAACCTCATATGAAGCCCTCTAGTAGGCATTAGTTGCATTTCTACTATAACCTACTCAATTTTAGCCGCTCTCATGATGTAGCGGCGGAGAAACCTTACCATTACAACAGTAGATTAATTAGACGACTTGTTTGCATGGCTTCACCATGAGATCATCGAAGCAGGGTTTCCTTAGACGTCATAGGAGCATTTGTTTATTAATGTCTCGCTGTTTAGAGTGGTCTACTGATTGGCTACTTTTCCCATTACTTTGTGAATGTGCGACCTCAAAAACAAAGGCTAGCTCGTGAGAAAAAGCAGAAAGAACAGGAAGAAGAAGAGGAACTGGAAGGTAAGATGCTGTTTCCGAAAATTCTGATGTGATTTCATGCAAAGCAAAATTACATAAGTAGAACAAAAGTTCCCCTAGTGAGTGGCTCACCGCACTCTCCGCAAATGATTGCCGCAGTCCGGCTCCTTGCCGTTCTAGCTGCCTATGTGCGGTAAGATTTTCGTCGCGCGCGGCGGCCCACTCTTATGGCCAGACTTACTTATCGGATGAAATGATCTCCACCTAAGCTGATCAGCGGTTAGAAAGGGGATGTCTACTAGAGAAAGGTGAGGAGTAAACAGATGGCAAAGAGCGCGAAGAAAAAAAAAGTAAAAAAGTGGATGACCTACAAGTAATTGTAACAGTATTGTATCCAACTTTAGCCCTCGAAATTCACAGTGATTTATCATTTACGAAATAATTATTTTTGCCCAGTTTAATGCCGCGTTACCATGTAGAGACCCTTGATATGACCAAAATATGCTGCTTAGTATTACGCTGTAATGTAATTGTAAATCAAAAAATAAATCAAATCAAGTAGAGTTTGTTATAATTTTGCCTATGTGCCGTATTTGTCTTGTACTATTTTTTCTATTTTAAAGAGATCAAGGAAGCCATGAATATGCAACCGTTACCATGTGAGCAGAAACAAGTCGGCGTTGTGAAAGGGATGATCAACAATGAACTGGTGAGTTATAATTTTCGAGGTAGTTCTTTCACTAATATAGAATTCTTCCTAGCATAAGAGGCTTTGAAACGTTTTGTGCCCTTTTGAACTCCCTACAGCTTTTTGAGACCCACTTTTCATCATTTTTTGGACGAATGTGCAGAATTGACTAACAGTGAGAATGGAGCATGAGATCACGCTCTTTCAGATAGCTTCACTTCGGAAAGTCCCTCCGGATAATGTGAGAAACAAGTCTGCAGATCCTGTCCCTGGTTCGTTTATTTCAGCTTTTCGGATGTGTATTGTGGGCCCCCTCGTCGAAAATTTTGAACAACTGTCATTTTGGTTTTTGCCTTTGATGAATTCATTAGCAAGTTTATTTAGCATTCCATGGAAAGCCTACTGTTGCAAAGCCGTCGAGTAGTGAAACTTCAAGTGATGAGGATGACAAAACAGTAAGTAGTCGCTCTTCATACACATGATTTCGTTTTTCTTCATTGTTGTTCCATATTTCTTTTAATTTAAGGTTGTTGCCCAAGTGAGTGGAAAGAGGAGATCAGCAAGTCTTAAAGAGGTATGCTGCATAGTCTTTTGACGGGAGAAAAGGATTCTTCGAAATTAGGCTCGTAATTTTTGATAGTATTCGATAGGATGTGGTGTTATGCCCGCCGTGATGCGATACTTGCTAGTTGCCCGTCACGCGATGCAATCCACATGGTCGCTTTATTGTTAGCTGCATTGGCGTTTGGCCCGCAACTCGTTGGACGATGAACAAGCCGAAATTCCATCCCGTAACGCTATATGAGATAACTGAGAGTAATGGAACTTACAATACGATTCCCCACATGATCATGATCCAGGATTCTATCCCCGAACCACAGATGAGATGGCGACGCGATTTCGTGCCATTCAACATCCACCACACGCTTCGCATACTTGTTTCAAATGAGTCAAATGTATATCTTTGATAAACTCGCATCAGCAGTTTCAGGAAGTTTCCTCGCTCTCAGACAAGGATTTGATCAACACTCTTGGAAATTTGCATGGAAAATTGGCTACGGCACAGTTGAGGGCTCGGACAAGAAAAATGCAAGAAGATATGACTAGGGAAGAGCGAGATGATGTGAGTTTAACAACCTTTTTTCTTAATATTCTTCAAAGATGGGTGAAGTTGAAGGATGTTGCTCACTGCCAGTCAATCTCCACGCAGTGTGCGCCACACATTCCATTCCCATTCAGAATTGCAAGGCAATCTGAATGCATATGTGGCACGTGCTTGTGGAATAAGCATTCCATACCAAGACACTCCAATTTGTTTCCCTACCAAAGGGGCTGGCCGGGTAGCGACTTTGGGAAGAGGAAGGTTAGGTTTGTTACAGTGAGTCCTGATAGGGGATCGATCAATGTGCGATGCCTAAGGTAGCCACCCTCCTTTCCCTCCCGTCTTCTATTCTCCCACTTTTCCGGCCTCGCGTCCTTCTGAAGGCATACCAACCAAAAGGCAACCCTGTAGTGAAATTTGCTGAAAACGTTGCTACCAGTGCTGGCTGGCGAATACTATTCGAAGCTTATCTTCGAACTGTGTCTGCCTTTTTCGTGATAGGCGAGTAGTGTAGTAGTAACTGTTCGTGGAATCTTCCTTGTACCTACCGAACTACCGAACTCTAATGGGAACACATTCCCAACTCTTTTACTACTCTTATGTGGAATACGAAACACTGAGTACCTAGCCATGCACCGTTTCGGCTATTCAGTATGTACTAGCCTTTCATTACTATGCGGTACAGTAGATTTCCTCAGAAGTTGAAAAGCTCCGATGGTTTTCGTAATGGGGTAGCCATTACTAGGCCACGGAAGGCTCTGCAACAACCGAGTGGGAATTGCCCAACAAGGGTATTCTCTCAAAGTATTCTATACAAAGCAGACTCCAGAACCCTTTTAAGGTTTTTTTTCGAAATTCCCATGGGGAAGCTCAAGGCTATTTCATGGAAGCACGTAGGCAGCAGAATATCGAGACCGTTCGGTAATCGATATTTGCTAGTTGGCGCCACATGGAGATCAAATGGGCGATGGATGGGGTTCCCGAACTTTAGGCGGCCCCGCGGATCTCCCTACCCACCCAAATTCTGAGTGCATTACTCACGCAGTAATGGTAGATCTTCCCAGAGCCCTTCCCAGAACTACGTCGTAACTAGGCTCTGATTACTTCCTACTATTCTAATTAAATTTTTATGGTCTCTGAAGTGCACGCCATCACCATCCATCAAATGGTTTGTTTCCAGGAAGCTCGTACGAAAGCTAAGCAACTCGAGTCGATTATGAGCCTCATGATGCAGAACCAGGAAAAATTCGGCATTACAAATGAAGACGAAATAAAAGAGCAATTGAACATGTATAATTTTTAAAATCCATTTGTTGTGCATAATGTGATGGTGATCATTGTTGTTGTAACTAACGAATGTAGTAATATTGTGATATTTATAAAGGAGACCCTGTCATCAGAGGCTCTTTGTGAAACGTGTAGAATTGTTGAGTATAAACGGATGAAATTTGGTTTATGTATGTTTATGGAACCTCTTCAGATGCTCCAGGAATTACATCGGTTCAGGTCAGGAGGTCTTGGAATCAGTTAGCTGTACCATGACTCTCCCAACTGGCCGGTTACTAGTTTCCATCCTAAAGAAGAGGGGGAGGGGTACGTGAGATCCCTCTGACTCGACCTCCGGGTTTCGAATCGGAACCCATATAAAATATATAAATTAAAGAGAGGAACTTAGGGCTCGGGCGCGAACGAAGAATCCTCCTCGCGACAATGTCAGCTCCATCGCTTCTAATCCTCTGCTCCTTAAAATTTTTCTTGTTATTTGAAAATGATTCCCGGTAATTTTGGGTTATGTAGTTTTAGACGAGTAAAGGAAGTGATAGTCAAGAGTAGTGCAAAATCGGCGTATATAGAGGAGTGTAGGGCTTGAAAAAAAGTTCATTTAGGGATTGGAAGAGTTACGGAAAAAGCGGCATGGAATTGAGTATTTCGACGACCACTACAAATGTATATGCTATGTACTGCACACATTGTCTAGAGTAAGCTGCCTGCGTGCGAGGTGTGGGTCTCCGTGCGAATGACCTTTAAAACTCTTGACAACTTGTCCGTCTTGGATACACATAGTCTAAGTAGGTTTTAGAGCCCTTCCTTCGTTCTATCTTGACTGCTTTCCGACCCAACAACGTCCTTAGCTCTTTAGGACCTTTGGGGTCC